CAAAATAATAATTTATAAATTATCAAGGGCTCATGAGGGAGGGGAAAATGAGGACCTAATGCCGGGGGCTTAAGTGGAGAGGAAGTGTTTTGAGAATGATGAGGGCAATGAATGTACAAATGCGCTTTACACAATTGCTGTATGTATGGATTGTGATAAGAGTTATATGAACCCCTAATAAAATGATTAAAAAATAATAATAAAAAACAAAGACACCTAACTTTGGGAATGACATCCCAATCTCAAATCCAAATGCCATTGTGCTGACTCAGACTCATAGTGACCCTATAAGACAGGATAGAACTGTCCCTGTGTGTTTCCAAGACTGTAACTCTTTACGGGAGTAGTAAGCTTCATGTTTCTCCTGAGGAGCAGCTGCTGGTTTCAAACTGCTGACCTTGTGCTTAACAGCCCCACACCCTACAAACTGTTAATATACTTGACTGCTAACCAATTCATCCTAAGGTGCCCCAGCAGAAAGGCCTGACAATCTACTTCTGAAAAATCAGCCCCTTCTTCTTTGACACACATGGGTTCCTCAGCACCTGGAGATGACTTGACATAGCTGGTTAAACTATATAATGTTGTGGCTTATGGTGGACTGATCACATCTCCCTAGAGAGAGATACAGCAGTCTGTACACATATTTACAAATGTACGCACACCAACACACACATATAGCTTAGCCCTGGAAATTTTCAGCAGATTGTTTGAAAATATACTGGGGGAAAACCCACTTTTAGAATGTGGTATGTCTGTGGATGACACAAGCAATGAAGCACTGAGTGACCAGCTGACAGGCGGGCAGTTAAAACCTGTGCAGGGTCACTTGGAAGGCAAACTGCATCCAAAAGCTCCCAGCATGAAGTCAAGAGCTGGGATCAATGTGAGGGCAACTAGCAATAGCCACAAATCACTTGAAATCTTTCTGAGTAAGTATACAATCAGACAGCATGAATGGCTATAAAAGTTGGCTGTCCCCTCCCAGCACCCAAATGGTAAAAGTAAAGAGAAAGTCACCTCACAGACCTCTGGAGACAGACTCACGGGGGCAGGGGGGAGCAGGGGGGAGGACGGGGACCCTGGAATGAAGATGAAATAAGACCTTCCCTTTCCAGCATGCTTCATCACCTGCCAGGTTAGACGACCGGAGGGCAGGCCTAAGGCAGGGGAGAGATGGTATCTAAAGTTCCCTTATACTGAAGTACACTATAGGTCTGCAGATGCCCTGGTGCAGTAGTTGGTTACCAGTTGGGCAGCTAACCCCAAGGTCAGCAGTTCAAACCCACCAGGTAAGGAAGAAGGATGAA